ACAGACGGGTATCACGGCTACCAGGTGCTGATAGTCTCTTGGCAAGAGGACCTCAGCAAGCTCCAAAAGCCTCACTCATTTTTCTAGATTAGATTTTTTTTTTTTTTAATTTTCTTTGGAAGAGAAACAAAGATATTGCCAGCACACTTTCATTTCTTTGAAATTTCTCATTAGCATTGGAAAAGCTTTGCCCTTTTTTTTTTTCCCTTTGAACTGTGATTTACTGCTCACACTGATGATAAACTACTGGTAAAGACAGCAGTTCACTCATAGCTTACTATAAAGATGTTTTCCTCCTCTTTTATGGCAGTCTTATTTTCCTAGGTTTGGGCATAGAGGTAACTATTAATTTCATCTCTTCAGAAAGCAACTAGAAATCCCCTCTGTTTGTATCGTTATCCGTGCCTTTTTAGCAAATCTGTATTTTAAATCATTGAAATAACATCCTAGGATTTTATACCTGTAATATGATTGAGGTGATAGAAATTTACAAGGGAAATTTACAAGGTGGAGCAACTTTCCTAAACATGGACAAGGAAAACGAGGACTCAGAACTCCAACTCATTTCCATCAGCTGGTGCTGGCTGAGAACAGGGAGGGAGCCTGAGAGGAGGATTTCAGCCGGCATCGCTGCACCTCTGTGCACTTTTTGTCTGGACGCTGAACTCTAAGCAAACGTATCGGACAGGTATTAAGAAAAAAACGTAAGTCATCACTTTCTACAGACTGCTTTGATTCTTCCCAGTTTTAAATTATGCTCAGTGTCCTGAACCCTCCTGTGCCCCCAAACCACGGGAAGTGACATGTGACCTGGTGAGCTCCTTAGCCTGTCACTTTGGTAAAGCGCATTTTCAGAACTTATCTTCAAAGCTGTTCACCAGTGGCCTCCCTAGATTTAAATAATGCTTCATCATAAACTGAGCTGAACTACAGACACTATGAAATGCCAACAGATGGCTGAATTGTGTTTCCATAGCAAAGTAATTTACAATAATTGCCGTATGGACGTAAATGCAATTTTCCATTATATTAATTTTATCAAGTGTTACCATACATCTTTCATATATTTTATCAGGACAGGCAGAGAATATCTAAATTTTCATGCAGTAACAATTCTCAGTTCAAATAAATTTAAGCTTCAAATCTGAATTTGGCACAAAAGCAAAAATACTAAGACCAAATTAAAATTGTCTTTTTAAGAAGTACATTGTGTAGTACCACACTTTTTTAGTGACTTTACATTCTTTTTTTGTTTTCAGTGGGAATGTTTACTTATCTTGGAATTCAGTAATGTAGAGAAGACTTTACATGTAATTCTAAAGACACCTCATACTCTTTC